AAACGTCAGCTTTCCTGCTCCTGTGATGCTGCCTGGCCTGCTGTGTTCTTCCAGATCCACACCTTGTTAACTCCAGTTCCCTGCCCCGCAGCCCAGCCCAGCCTTCTGCCATAACCTTTGCGTCCCTTGTTCATCAAGAATCTATCTACCTCTGTCTTAAAAACAAATATCCGCGTTCTCTGGGAGGAGGCTCACGATCCTCTGAAAGAGAGAGAGAAAAAAATCTCCCTTCTATTTGGGAGAACACATTTTTTGAAATGATTTTGCTTAGTTCTAGATTCCGCAAAAGGGATATGTATATACAAATTGACACCTGATGTTTTTATGCCAGTTTTAAGTGCTCCATTCCACTGTCATATACGAAACAAATTGCATGTTTCTAGAGTCAATAAAATCAATTGAAAGACACAACATCTGACTTATTGTTTCCTCCTGTAAGCCTGTCTTAAGCTATATCATAACTACCCAATGATAATCTGTCTCTATTTTCTTCCATACTTCGCTGTGGTCATTTTTAGGATTTACTACCAATGTTAGTGCGTTATCTTTTTCCTTCACACCACCACCCCGCCCCCCACCCCCACCCCCTCGACCCCTCGGATCGCACTTCTACACCAGCCTGTCAGCTTGGCGTCACTAGTCTCTTTCTTTCCTGACACCAATAAAACGTGGGAAGAGTTTACGGAAATAGATGGTGACCGTCAGATTACATCGATGAGTTTTCACAATGTTCCTTTCTGTCTGGCTTTTATTCAGATCCGTCGCCAAATCAATGCTCAGCACCAAACAGATGTGCACTACGAGAGACAATCTGGGAATTCGGGGTATCCTGTGAACTATGGAACCGCTCATGGGGGTAACAGCAGCTTTGGAATGTGTGATCAACGTACTTTTGATTCCAACTCCAATTTAACCTTTCTACCGCTGTAGTGCATGGATTTTCATTTCTTGATGTTTCATTGGAATCACTGCCAAGTACTGGAGATTAGAGGTACTGTAGTGCAATATGGAAGAGGCTTGAATTGCCTGGTCTCCAGCGTTAAAGAGGAGGCTTTAGTGCTGCTAGTCAGTCTAATTGAATCATCGTGCCGGCGGGAATAGGTGTGCAATGGAATGTATTAAACAAACAGAAAGTAAAACTGAATTTTCAAGGTTTCACTAACAGATGAGACAATATATTGAACATACAAGTCGCTTTGGAACAGTTAATATTTCACCCGTCTTTTGTATACAGCAAGCTATTTGGAATAGTACATTAATAATTATACACATTGTATTTTACAGGGTTTTGCATATTCAAAGGCTTTTTAAAAACATAGTTTGCATAGTTACTAGTTTGGTATGATTTATATGTAAACAGTAAACGTGCTGAAATAAAATAAGGTCAGCCCAGTCACAAGTTATTACGCCGTACTACTTCAAGATTTATGTTAACTTCTTCCGATATCACATAAATTAAATCATACTTACTAAACAAAGCAATGAGAAGCGCAGAAAGTATGGCTAGAAACCAAAAAGTTGATGGCATGTTACTGTCGCAGCAAATATCCTTCCATCTGAAGTAGTCAGCGGGACACCGGTAAAATCACAACCTCCCTTCAAAATAATTTTCTGGCACACAGTTCAAAGCCGACCTGGCCGTCATTTGTCGATTCCTGCTTGGGGCAAATAAACTGATCTGACTCTCACAGTGACCAGTCGCACAGGATTGCACTAAAACAAAAGTGAGCGAAACTGAAAAGCAATGTCAAAAGACGATTGGCAAACAGTCTTGAAATGAACCAAAATACGTGTGCTCCGCAATTATTAGTTTCAGCTCTTGCTGTTTGTACTTTCAGTTTCAGTATCTAGACTGGTTCAGTTCTTAATGTTTTCAATGTACGGAGCGATGCCTCTTTCAGCACCCTGGACAGCGTCCGACTTCACTGGCGTGAAATGTACGTGCGATCGGTTTTGCTGCTGCCTTATCGTACGCCAGGTCAAAATCCGCGTCAGGACAGCACACTTTGCGCAATAACTATGTACTCCTGTGCCTGAGGGGAGAACCGGTTATTTTAACAATCTCCAATAGTTTTTATTGAACAACCGCACAGAGGTAAGTGAGTGGACCTACCTGAACGTGTCAGCCCCATAGGAACCTCCACTATTTTTGGGAAATTCTCCGGCTCCCTACATCGAGTATAGCAAGCAAGGTAATAGCCACAGATATTCGAGTTCCTCAGCTAAACTCATTTCTATCAGTTGTAAATACTCTTTAGTGTCAATCTGCAAATAGAAACCATTCTGTCCTGTTTCAAGCCCAGATTTTTGAAAGTAACGTCCATCAAAGAAGAAGACGATGGAAGCTTGCGGGAGTGGGTTTTTGGAGATGGGCGGAGGGGGTCTGTATTTAAAGAGATTTTGTTTTATATTTTAAAGATGACATATGGATAATGTCTTCCAGAATGTATCTGTTTATATTTTACCGATGGTATTCCCTCCGAAAAATCTGCTAGAATTCCAGGCAAAAGTGCCGCTCGACGTGAACAGCCGAAATTACCGAAGCAATTCGCATTCATTATGTCGGAACATCACGGGAGATATACAACCCTGTCAAATAACAAAGCTGCAAATGTGAAAATACAAGAGCCAATTGCGCCATCTACATCTGCCAGATATGTGGTGCTGTTGTGGAGTATGTTTTAACAATACAAGGAAACACCGTGCTAAGCCAACAACAAACAACAAAAATCTGAGACCTGATTGTTCCAGTAGCAACCTAACTGAGGAAGCTTTTGCTCAGTAGCTATACAAGGCGCATTCGATGTTAAATGTGTTCCAATTGCCTGGGAATCTTTTGGCATTCTAAACAGTCCCCAGCTTTCAAGAAACCGTGACAGACTGGCACATATCAGCATCTTTATGTCGAATGAGTTTTGCTTTGCGTATTTAAAACCGCATCCCAAGCCGTTCTTCAACGTTCAAGATGTCCTCGTCAACATGCTCCTAGACACACAAGGTTGTTTTATTCATTGGTTTCTCTTGGAAACAGCTGCCGCGAACCCCACCAAATCTTTATTAAATACCATGATCCCAAATCAAACATCATAAATTGGATTGTGTGGACCCAATTTTCATCAAATGCACCAAACATCCTTAGACAGCACATTCCAAACTCACAATTACTTCCATCTCGAAGGACAAGGTCATCAGGTACGTGGGAAGATCCCTTCCAAAGCACTCACCATCCTGACTTGGAAATATATTGCCGTTCCTTCACTATCGCTGGTCAAAATCCTGGAATTCGTTCTCAAATGGCATTGTAATCAAGCTACTGCACGGCTGCAACAATTTAAGAATGCAGCTCACCATCACCTACTAAGGGGCAATCAGAAGCTGGCAATAAATGCTGGCCAGCCAACGATGCCCACATCCTACTAGTAAATAAAAAAAAATTTTGCAAACTTGACGCTGTGGCCAGTGCAGGCTGCAGAGGAGGGGGTGGGGGTCTGCTAATGGGGGAGGGTGTAGCACATAATGCTTTACCTTCAAATGCATAAGTTCAAAGATATACACCAAGCACCTTGATTTTGAATCAATCATTAAATCCAGTTTTTGTATAAAGCAAGGATTCCATCAGTTTCACAATCACCAGAGCGTTTTGAGAGAAATGTTTGTTTATTTGAATCCATGACTCACGCATTAGGGGCCTTATCATTATAGATATATAGATTAGTTTCCACATACAGGAAGACCCCTTTCTGCCAGTACTTCCATCACCCAGTCACTTTCTCCCACCCATTTGGTAACCCTGCAAATATTTCCTTCCTATAGTTATCCAATTCTCTTCTAAAGGCCTGGACTGATCTCTCTTTGCCACACAGTCTTCATCAAACTGGCGATCAGAGGATTCCAGATCCTAAATGAAAACTCTCTGCATAAAACGTTTTTCTTATGTCACTGTTGTTTCTTTTGAGTCATGTGAAATTCATGACCAATGCTTCTTACTCTTTTTGCTAATGGGAACAGTCTCTCCCTAACAAATCCGTCCAGACTGCTGATGATGTTTGAAACCTAGATCAAATCTCTTCTTAATTTTATCTTCTTCAGCTCCAGTTTATCCAACCTGTCAACATGCCAGATGTCCCTTGTCCCTGGAATAATTTGCATGAATCTTTTCTGCATCCTTCTAATGTTTTTTCACCATTCCTAAAATGTGTTGCCCAGAATTGGAGGCAGAACCAGGGTTTATACAGGTTCAAAATAACTTCCTTACTTTTGTACATATATCCTTGTTCATAAAGCCCAGGATTCTGGATGTATTCTCAATCACCTTCCCTCCTGCATTGATTTATGCATTTGTCTCTGGTTCCTAGTGTTCTTGCACCACCTTTTGAACTGTGCCCTATATTCCACATTGCCTCTACTCATTCTTCCCACAAATATGAATTACTTCACACGTCTCTGCATTAAAGTTCATCTGCCACCTATCCATCCAATCTGTTAGTCTACTTAAGTCCTCAAAGTTTATCACAAATAAACAGCCTATGTAAAGGATTGAACAATTTCAGGTTCAGAAATATTATAAATCAAAGCTTCCTTTGGGCTTGTCTTTGGATCCTCCTTCTGGATCAAAGTCAATTTATTAGAAAAACAAAATGGTGTGAATTCTGAAAACATGAAATAAAAACAGACCATGCCAGAAACAGTCAGCAGGTCTAGCAGAATCTGTGGAGACAGAAACAGGGTCAAAATTTCAGATAAATGACCCTCATTCAAAGCTGAAAAATGATGGAATTGTAATTGATTTTAAGGAGGTGAAATGAAGAAGGGTGATAAAGGGAAAAAAGAAAGGCTTTGAGATGACAGAAGAATCCTATATTAGATGTAGACAACAGGGATCAACTGAATCTCTTGAAGAGTTTAAAGAGTGTAGGGGCATTCTTAAGAAGGAAATCAGGAAGACAAAGAGGGGATGTGAGATTGCTTTGGTAGATAAGGTTAAAGATAATCCAAAAAGCTTCTATAAATACATTAAGAACAAGAGAGCAACTAGACATCAAGAGTAGACACCTTAAAGATCAATGAGTTCATCTTTGTGTTGAACCTCAGGGGATTTCAGAGATATTAAATGAATATTTCATGTCAGTTTTTACTGTTGAGAAAGTTCTAGAGAAGGCTAGAGAACTCACAGAAGTAAGTACTGATGTTATGAAAACAGTTCACATTACAGAATCTCCAGGACCTGATCAAGTGTATGCTAGGACATTGTGGGAAGTTAGACATGAAATTGCAGGGCCCCTGGCAAAAATATTTGTATCATCTTTAAATACAGGTGAAGTACCAAAGGTATGGGTGGTGGCTAATGTTGTGTCATTGGTTCAAAAAGGCTGTAAGGAGAAGCCTTGAAACTATTGACCCGTGAATTTGACATTGGTTGTGAGTAATTTGTTGGAGGTGATTTTGAAAGGTAGGATTTACATGCATTTGGAAAGGCAAGGATTGATTGGGGATATTCAGCATGGTTTTGTGCGAGGTAAATCATGTCTCACAAACTTCACTGAGCTTTTTAAAGAAGTAACCAAAAAGATTGAAGAGGGCAGAGCAGTAGGTGTTGTTTACTTGGACTTTAGTAAAGCCTTTGACAAGGTTTTGCATGGCAGACTAATTTGTAAATTTAGATCACATGGGATTCAGGGTAAGCTTGCCAAGTAGATACAGTAGGAAAGGTTTGAGGGAAATGAGTCCAGCACAGGCAGGTGGAACTAGTTTAGTTTGAGAACATTGTTGGTGTGGACTGGTTGGACCGAAGGGCCTGTTGTAAGTTGTATAACTCTACAACTTGACTCTATGACTCTAGGTGATGTTAAGTGACAAAGGAGTTGTTGGTGCAGAGCCAAAGGGATTGGTGATGGCAAAACTAAATGAACAAACCATGAGTCTAGAGGAGTTTGAATGACCGAATGATGATCACCAGCCATCTAAAAGCAAAAATAAGACAGAAACAAGAGTAAGACAAAAATATATAAAGAAATGTTTTGCACCACCAACTTTTTGTTATTTTAATTCTAAAATCTTTTGTCCTATTGAAGACTATCTCTTTGTTCTTTATTTACTCTTCTCCAATTTAACTATTAAAACCTATTAAATTTTTAAATTTTTCTAAGTTCTGATGAAAGTTAATTGACTTGAAACATTAATTCTGTTCCACTTTACAGAAGTTGCTTGACATGGTGGACATTTCCATTAGTTTCAGCTTTTACCTCAGTTCATTTTGCTTACCCTATTCTAAAAAGCCACACATATAAAACTTCTTTGTTCAAAACATATGTAAAATTATTCCAGAATTTTGGATGCTGCAGAATATAAACATTTTTTTCTGGTTTTGTATTTTGATTTTTTTATTTGTTAAAATATCAATATTCTCACTGAGACCTGCATTGTATTTTCTGTTTCTTTGAATGCATTTATTGCTTAAGTATAATTCATGCAAAAAATTGACAAGCTTCCATGCTTGTATCTCAAATACTGGGATTGTATCCCAACTTTGTGTAAAATGGGCAATAACAAATGGACAGACAGTTTTCAACATCATTCCTGGTAGTTAACTTAAAGAAAGTTAAAATTCAAGAGGGTTGCACTAAATAGTATTATATTAAAAATGCATCCACACTATCTCTTATATAAGATGTAGTAGGG